TATATATATATATATAGCCTTAAATTTTTTACCCCTGAGTCAAGGGACCGCATAGGTTATCAATCGAAGCCAGCAGAGATACCGTTACCCATGAGAAACTGTTACAATACAGCTTCCTACTACTTGGAGGCAGTAATGTTTATCAAGCTTCAGTAAGCCGAAGAAGCAATCCAGACAAGTTTACCAGGGCAACAAGACATACTGTACTTATTATCAGCAATGAGGTTTTAAAACTCAGAGAAGCTACAGCTGTAATGCACCCCACCCACTCACACACATAATTTCCCCAAAAAAGACTAAAGTAGTACACGAGTACAATCTAGACTTCATTACATATGTTTGTACAGTATAAATGGGGAAAACGATGCAGAGCCAAGAGCCCAGTGTGCAGCATCTAGAAGTAAAACATCCAACACTGATCATACATCAGAGGCTAAATTAACCCAATGTTTTCTCCACTTTGAAACCCTTGCAATGATCACAAAATATAGTAGTTTGACAAAAATTAGTCTGCTGTGATTGTTATTGTTCGTCACATATATGAAACGCATCTCCTGATTTGATCATGCAAAAATTTGAAGGTTTAAAGCGTTGTCAAATAAATACGTTTTCAGACGACTCATTTTCATTTGCACTTTATTACAACTTTATTTGCAGTTTATTGTCCCCTGTTGCAGAGCAAAGAGTGGGAATTGGAAATTCCCTCCATTTGTCCATCCGTACATGTTGTGAGCATGATGACTTGAGAGTGAGATATCGACTTACATTTTTATGTGTGGCTGCAACTAAGCATAAGAAAGGTTCCTTTCGAAAATTGGGATGCCATATAAAAATTTCAAGATGACCATATGCATACATTAACCAGCTAGTCCGATCATTTGAGGAAACTACGAGTACAGTTTGCTCAAATGACTGGACGCCACTATTGTCTCTGGTTGTGGGTGAAATTGCTCCCTCCAGTCGTCTGGATCAGTCACTCTGTGCTGCATTGGATAAGCAAAAAAAAAAACCTGTAAAATAAAATAACTCCCTTTGTTCTTCCGCACAGTGCAACTCCTAACCACTTCAATATCTTACATGAAAAACATTAAGGTTTACTTGTAATCCCTGTTCAAATCCAGTCCAGAAAAACACTCATCTTGAAAACTACAAGCATTCACTATTTAAATCTCTCAGCGACAGGAGACATTGGCCTACCACTAGTTTATGTATTATATAAACAGAACATTATTTGGAATATATTTATTTCATGACAACATAATTTTATTAATCAAATTCTCTTTTTTGGTCATCAGTTTTTTCCTCACATTTTCACAACTATTTTGTGTTAATGGGCTGACTGGAGTAGAACCCGACTGATATGGACATTTTGGCTATCTTCTATACCGATATTGGGAGGGGGAGGCTAATGCCGATAACCGATATAATGGTAGAACATTTTTTTGCTTCGTCCACCCCCAAGAATCTAAGTAAACGGCTACTTTTAAACCTGTTTTAACACTTGGTCTTGAAACAGTCTTCCTAACGTGTGTTCACATTTTCTGTCCTCCACTATTCACCATAAAGTTATTGTGTGTTACAAAAATATAAATTAAACAAAGAAACAACCTTCCTGTTCATTTTTTAAACAGTCAGGCACGTTTGGTGAAGGTCTAATTTGTATTGGCCACAGTAGCATTTTGTTTTTTTCTTTGCAGAGAAGTAAAGATTTCAGACAAACAATGCATTTCACTGAGGACGACAGAGATAACATTACTAACACTGATATATTTTAACCTCTATGTTAGATTTATTGTTCTGGATAAAGTTTTACAAGGAAA